ACTGGTGCCTATCCTTTTCAGTATACACATGGTTGGTTGCTCTACCCACGTCCAACCCACAGCATTATTTTAAAGCTATAAAAGAACTACCCTGTGTTCCAGGATGTTGGATACGATCCTTAGTCTTGAAAAGCCATTTCCCCTGAACCATTCTCTTTGCAGTGGCCACCCCAACCCAGTTGACTCTCACTGGATGTAAGAGTGGTCCAGGGGATGGTGCCAAGATGGTAGTGATCTTGAAGATTTTTGGACCTTGTCAACCACCAAAAGCTGAACATCTTCAGGGTAATGAATAATCTTTGAGAAAGATCTCATTCTCGACTCAGAAATCACTGATGAAAATGCCATACTTGACCATCAAAATGCTTGAGGAAAAGGTCCCCAGGAGGTTGAGACACTGGCATGCATGGAATTTCTAAGGCTTTTCTCACTTTCCATCTGATTGGAATCTTTTCTGGAGAGAAGACAATGTTGCCTCTGTGTATTGAAAAGTGTTCCCAAATACACAATTGTTTGGCTGTGCACCAGCTGACTATTGCCCTGGTTGATTATCCAACCAAACCAATAGTGTCTCCCTGCAGAGAATATAAGTATGTCATCCAGATAATGCAGAACTCTGATTCCATTTTCTTGCATTGGAGTCAAGACTGCCTCCAACATCTACAGTGGGGATCGAAAGTTTGGGCACCCCAGCTAAAAATTTGTATTAATGTGCATAAAGAAGCCAAGGAAAGATGGAAAAATCTCCAAAAGGCATCAAATTACAGATTAGACATTCTTATCATATGTCAACAAAAGTTAGATTTTATTTCCATCATTTACACTTTCAAAATAACAGAAAACAAAAAATGTTGTCTGCAAACGTTTGGGCACCCTGCAGAATTTATAGCATGTGCTGCCCCCTTTGCAAAGCTGAGACCTGCCAGTGTCATGGATTGTTCTCCATCATCTGGGAAGACCAGGTGATGTCAATCTCAAAGGTTTTAAATGCCCAGACTCATCTGACCTTGCCCCAACAATAAGCACCATGGGTTCTTCTAAGCAGTTGTCTAGAAAACTGAAACTGAAAATAGTTGACGCTCACAAAGCTGGAGAAGGCTATAAGAAGATAGCAAAGCGTTTTCAGATGTCAGTATCCTCTGTTCGGAATGTAATTAAGAAATGTCAGTCATCAGGAACAGTGGAAGTTAAAGCAAGATCTGGAAGGACCAAGAAAAATATCAGACAGAACAGCTCGCAGGATTGTGAGAAAAACCATTCCAAACCCACGTTTGACTGCACGATCCCTCCAGAAAGATCTGGCAGACACTGGAGTTGTGGTACACTATTCCACTATAAAGAGTTACTTGTACAAATATGGTCTTCATGGAAGAGTCATCAGAAGAAAACCTCTTCTACGTTCTCACCACAAAAATCATTGTTTGAACTTTGCAAATGAACATATAGACAAGCCTGATGCATTTTGGAAACAAGTTCTGTGGACCGATGAGGTTAAAATTGAACTTTTTGGCCGGAATGAGCAAAGGTACGTTTGGAAAAGGGGCACAGAATTTACTGAAAAGAACCTCTGTCCAACTGTTAAGCATGGGGTTGGATCAATCATGCTTTGGGGTTGTGTTGCAGCCAGTGGCACAGGGAACATCTCACGAGTAGAAGGAAAAATGAATTCAATAAAATTTCAGCAAATTTTGGATGGTAACTTGATGCCATCTGTGAAAAAGCTGAAGTTAGAGAGGATGGCTTCTACAAATGGATAATGATCCTAAACACACCTCGAAATCCACGGGGGATTACATCAAGAGGCGTAAACTGGAGGTTTTGCCATGGCCTTCACAATCTCCTGACCTCAACATAATTGAAAATCTATGGATAGACCTTAAAAGAGCAGTGCGTGACACAGCCCAGAAATCTCAAAGAACTGGAAGACTTTTGTAAGGAAGAATGGGCAAAGATACCTCAAACAAGAATTGAAAGACTCTTGGCTGGCTACAAAAAGCGTTTACAAGCTGTGATACTTGCCAAGGGGGCAGTACAAGATATTAACTCTGCAGGGTGCCCAAACTTTTGCAGACACCATTTTTTTGTTTTCTGTGTATTTTGAAAGTGTAAATGATGGAAATAAAATCTAACTTTTGTTGACATATTATAAGAAGGTCTAATCTGTAATTTGATGCCTTTTGAAGATTTTTTCCATCTTTCCTTGGCTTCTTTATGCACATTAATACAAATTTTTAGCTGGGGTGCCCAAACGTTTGATCCGCACTGTACATGTATGTTCTCGGTGCTGTCGATAAGCCAAAGGGAAAACACTGTAGCTGAAGGTGGGCCCTTGTCTACCCTGATCCTTGGGCTTGGAACTGGGGAGGTAGGTATCCTGAAGGTCTATGGAGGCCATCCAGTCTCCTGGCTGAATCAATAGAATGACCTTATAAAACATCTCCCATTTTGAACCGATCTAGATGAATAAGTCTATTTGGCCTTTTCGAATCTAGTACCGGTCTCCAACCTTCTGTCTTCTTTCTTACCAATAATACTGGGGAATAGAAGCCTGTGTACTTTTTCCTGTTCGCACCAACACCATCTGAGCTAAAGCTAAGACCCCATAAACTGTCAGCCACTCAGAAAAAGGAAAAATGCCTACCCTGGAAAGACTCCTTATGTACAGAGGGCAGTCAGTATTAAAACCAGTACTAGAGGACAGCCAACCACCAGGATATGAAGAGATGCCATTGCAGCCCCCCCCCCCCCAAAAGAGAGAAGGGCAATAATCATCTGACCAGAGTATCAAGATGGCTGCCATCCCGTCTGCTGGCTACCACGTATGCACGGGGGGGGGGGGGGGGGATAAAGCTGCAGCTAAGACAAAACATAAAGTCCATGCAAAGGTCCAAATAATTCTCAGGAAAAGTGGATCCCCCTACTCAGCACATTTAACAGCCCTAGTAGTGCAACCTCCTTTCAAGAGAGCCTTAACTTGAATGGCAGCACCACGTAGGTGAAGCTAGGGGCTAGTGTTCCAATAATCCTGCAGGTTTGAGGACAGAAAAATGACGTGAGGGGGTAGCTCTTTCTTTCATATAGTCAAAATAGTCCTGTGGGTTGAATGTGGAAGGAGCAGCCAACTATGTTCTACCATTGAGGCAGCAGGAAAATATTCCTGATAGACTGAGATGTGAAGAAAATGGTGGTGAGGAAGAGGCTGGGAAGAATGTCATTTCATTATGTGGGAACACACTTTAGGAAGGACAGGAGCATGGAAGAGTGGACAAAAGGCTGGGAGGAGGGTCAGAAGGATGACAGGCAGAGCAAGAAAAAAGGGGCAGATGGATGGGAGAAGAGTAGAATGGAGAGATTCGGACACAGGCTGGGGGGAGGGTGGGTGCATACATAAAATGCACTAAATATGTAATACAACAGCTAAATAACCTAGAAAATAGTTCAGAATTGCTTTTTGGGAATAGCTGATGTCAAATTGCTGTACATGGTTCTATCGCATGAACAAGGAAATTGCAGTGCAGAGCTTTTTGTTTTGATATTCAATAACATTTTATATAGGAATGTGTGGATTTGGCATTTAAGTGTAATTTCTCTTGGTTAAGAGCTGATTCACACATGTGTGTTGCGAATTGAAGCTCAGGTTTCACAGCTAATTGACACAGTATTTGTTCAGCGGTTAATGTCAGGTTTATATCAGGTTCAGGACAAGATTAGGTCAGGATTGTATCCTGTTCACACGTATGTGGTTCAGAAATGGTTCCCATAGAAGTCAATAACCTGTAATCCGCTCCTGAACTGGACCACACTGCTCAGAAATCGGACATTATTCTTTTTCAAACTGCACTGAATCCACACCGCCAGTGCACCAGACATATGTAGACAGGCACCATAGGAAGCAATGTTATTTCACATGTCAAGCGGGTTGGATGCGGTTCAAACCACATCCAATCTGCATTTATGTGAACTGACACTTAATATTGCAAACCGCTGGAGCCTCCATAGGTAGGAAATATGCACCAAGTTTAGCCAATCAGTTTATGGCGTATTGGGATGACAGTATCCACTATAAGGGTACTCCCTTGGACCTGATCAAGGGGAACAAGAGGTACATAGATATCCTCTTTTGGAAGGGGGAATGAACTATTGCTTCAAAAATTAAGTGAAGATTTAAAGTGGTTGTAAAGACAGAAGGTATTATCTGCACTATTGTAAAAAACCTTCTGCGTTCAGCTACCCCCACCTGCTCTCTCCCCTAAATGCTTACCTGAGCCTGAATTTAATTCACGCTGGGCCCGAGAACAGTGGCTGTCTCCTCACTCCCTTCTCATTGGACATGGAGGCAGCAGCGGGAGTCATTGGCTAAATTGTGGATCACTTTTCAGAACATTGGCTAGTGTAAACCTAGCCTTACACTAAAAAAAGTGTGCAACAATGTATGTATTTGTAGCACAACTGCTTTTCACATACGGGTTTATAAAAATGTTTGATTTGCTTGCTAGCATGGTTGTCGGGGATATATTATTTTTTTTATAGTGCCAACAGTGCTTTACATAATTGAAAAATCTAGTAATTTTTTTTTCACAAAAATTCTTCCGCTAACATTGTGCCCAGCATTTATAGTGGAACTTCACATGAAATCATCAGACGTTCCACCTATTATCCTCCTCTGCCATTAATGTAAACTGTTTGTTTTGTTGGCGTGTTTTTTTTTTTTTTTTTTTTTTTTTTTTTTTTTTTTTTTTTTTTTTCAGGGAGCCGGTACCTGGTTTGGACAGGTACCTGCTCCTATTTCCACTTGGCTCACCTAGGCCAGTGGAGAGGAAGTTCTTCCTCATGTACGATTTCTCATTTTGAAATGCAGTCACTATATTGAAGTACTGATAAGCTGCCAAATATGTACAGTATTTTGTTGTTTTTAGGCTTAAATCAGGTTTACTTATTGACTTTTGTAGCGCAATCTGTAAATTGTGACTAACCCAGGTATAACTAAATTCTTCTTTCTTCTAGAAATATCTGAAGTGGATTCCTCCTGGAACAGGAAAGGACGACTTAAACGCCCAATGAATGCATATATGATCTGGGCCCGAATTCACCGTCCAATTCTGAACAGAGCCAATCCTAACACCAAATTTGCACTCATAAGTGCACTGCTTGGAGAGGAATGGACCAAACTGACAGAGGAGCAGAAAGAGCCCTACTATGACGAGGCAGAGCGGATTAAAAGAAAACACGCTCAGGAGTATCCAGGTTCTTAGTCCTCAGGGCCTTAAGCCCCTCATTACAGAGTTCATACTCCCTATGGATTAAAACTAGTTTAAATTAGTACAGAAAAGTCAGTTTATTTATCGAATGCAGCCTTTCTCAACCAGGGTGCCTTGAGGTTACGTCAGTGGTGCCTTAGCAAAATGTCTGAAAACTGCCCAAAACTTGTATAAAAGTCAGCGGGTAGAACAAACCTGCCTTTTTAGTTACACAAAGCCACAGGTTTTTATTGTGCACCTTTACGACCTTCTAGCCGCCGGCATCCTGACAACCTATGACCTCATCAGCTGATAAGGAGGATGTTGGCTGCCTGCACAGCATTCTCGTTTGACCTTCCCCTGCCCCTCTCCGGCAGTGCTGGAGTCACATTAGCTCAGTGTTGGAGAAAAACTGAGGGAGAAGAGAAACACAGGAATACTAGTCAGTACGCAAAAGTGTATTTGCTTTGTAGGAATAAATCACCCAATAATGTTGGGTGTCCTACATGTGGGGATGTTGCTGCATTATATAATGCTATTAGAATAGTTTTCACATTTTAGAATGGGGTGCCCTTTTAAAATTATGGACCGTTTTGAGGCACCCTATATTAGAATGGACTCAGGCCTGTCCATAATTTTAAAGGGTGCCTTGACTGAAAAAAGGTTGAGAAACACTGCTCTAATGCACTGGTCCTTGCATGTCCTATCACATATCCAAATCCCAAAATGCAATATATCATAGGTATGACTCTGTTGCCACTATTGTACAATTATTCTTCTGGTTCACTGTCATTTCTACATTTCTGAATCGTCAATCCTCCTGCGCATGAGTGGGTCCAGAAGAGACAACTGGCTACAATCTCATCCTTGTTGGCTTGAATGTCACAATCCTTGCTGCCTTCTTAAGACTGGGGAAGTCTAAAACCACTGTAACTATAAAACAAGACAGAGGGCGCACCGGCCTGGTGCATTATCCTTTAAAACGTGTATTTCTTGTTAGAACAAGTATTATACTCACAAAACAGCGGTTTTCACAAGCTCATCAAATAAACATAGTTCCATCAAATCCATGATACATTATATCACCCCCGCAGGGCAGGTAGGACCTCCAGTGGGCTAACATGTTTCGAGGACTAGCCTCTTCCTCAGAGCCCAAGGAAGAGGCTAGTCCTTGAAGCATGTTAGCCTGTTGGAGGTGCTATCTGCCCTGTTGGGTGACGCGCTTTATCGTAGATTTGATGGAACTATGTTTGTTTATTTGATGAGCTTGTGAAAACTGATGTTTTGTGAGTATAATACTTATTTTAACAAATACATGTTTTAAGGATAATGCTCTAGGCCGGTGTGCCCTCTGTCTTGTTTTATGGTTACATTTCTAAATTTCCCTCTGTGACTAACATCGGTAAAAATGCACAGTTAAGCTGCGTTTTTTTACTGCCCCCCCATCCACTCCCCCTTAAGCTGCAAAGGCAGCAAAAGGGGTGTATACGTGCCGGTGGTGCCATTTTCAGGGGCTAAAACAGGCTGTGAGAAGGCAGCATAATGCCCCCTTATCTCCTGCAAATGTTCTTTGAAAAGTGATCCAGCTCAGATCATTTGTGTAAAGAAGCCCTAACAGTTGCTGCCAGCTTCTTAGCTGAGCCTATGGCGTCATTAGTGAAGTCCTCCTTATTAATCTATTGAGAATCCACGTGTGTGTGTGTGTGTGTGTGTGTGTGTGTGTGTGTGTGTGTGTGTGTGTGTGTGTCTGGGTGGAGTTTTACTGAGCTGTGAGGACCCAATGTGGAATCCAAACCTGCTTCATTTAACACACAGCTAAAAAAGTGTTATTAAAGTATGTCTACTTTAAATGTGTACATACATGCAGCAAGCATAGTTGTAGATGGAGTCGTTTTAGTACAAATCTGCAGATTGCTTCCTACATATACGTTCCAAAGTGTGTGTATAATTGTACAATAATCCCAAATATATAGATCTTCACATCTGCAGAAATGGGTATTACCTGAGATTCATAGTCTTAAGTATTGGATAATCCCAATTCATCTGTGCATGTACAATGCAAATCCAGTCTGGACAGTGTGCTTATTGTGCCTGACGGATAATAGATGATTCTGCTTCTTTTTAACACAATTGTTATCTCCTTCACAATTATACATCATAACCTTTTGCCACTTTGTGTAGATTGGGAATTTCGACCTGATATTAAGAACAAGAAGCTGTCCTCTCCGGTTTATGTCGCCATTCCAAGTTCTTCCAGGGATCCACCAGAAGCTTCTGCTAACGCGATGCCTCAAAATCTGTCGTCATGTTCAGAGATGATCCCTCAACCCAGCGAACTAACGAGTAAGTCAGAAGGGCTTATTCACATTAGTGCACTGGAAAAATGCCAGTCATCACTAGGACACATAGAAAAGAATTGTTATTTATGTGCCCTGTTCGCACTACAGTGCAGCCCAGAGGTGTGGTGCAGCGAACTGCGATGGTGTGCAGTGACAAAAAAAATTAAGTTTCACGTTATACACTTCAAAAAAAGTTTAAAAAAAAAAGGAAACTGTGATGTGGCAAAACGTGCATCACACCGCTCCCTCAATGAGGCTCACTTTAGCTGAACTGGACAGCTGCCCGCACACCAAAGTATTCTGGTTTAGTGTACTGGCATTGTGAACTAAAGCAAATGTGTGCGCTGTCAAATAGTGTGAATAACTGAACGAAATAAGTAGAATTTAAACCCAGCTGCCGCAATCACTAGAAGTGTCAATTCATCATAAATCAAAATAAACAGGTAAGTTTTGTGTTGGGCTGCTGTATAAAAAAAAAAAAAAAAAAAAAAAATATATATATATATATTTAATAGATTCAAATCAATAACCACGTGAGTCCACATATCTGTACACAATCTCTTGCAGTGTGCCAATCCACAAAGTGCAAAATTAAATTATCCAGTTGTTAATAATATAAAGACACACTTCTGTGATCCTTCTGCTGGTAAGTGAACCTGCTTCCCTGTTGCAAACAAACTCTCAGTGCACCATCACACTCGTGTCTCTGAAATGGACCCTCACCTTAGGGTGTTAACCTATTAAACAGGTCAAATTTAGGCTCTACCCTTTCCTTGGGGGTCTATATAGATATCTCCAAGTCTGATCTCGTTTCACGCTCTCCTCTCTGCCCCTGAACGTTTATGGGATCCCATTGCTGATGGTCTGCAGGGTGGCACTCAAAGTAAAAATGAAACCGCCATGGTGTAGTACATTTATAAAATCCAAATGGTTTATTAAAACTGCACTCGCATGTATGCTGATGTTACAACTGCTAAAACACAACAGATATTCCTTGCAGAGCGTCCTGTGATGTCTCTGGTGAATGGCCCTCCTGTCATCTAAGCTCTTCTCCATGTGTATCGTCACATATTGACCCCGGATGAAGTTGTGCTTCGTGATACGTGTGGGGAGGAGCTTAGGTGAAGGGAACCTCTCCTGAACCTCTCCTTTTTTTTTTTTCCCTCATTTCCGTTGGTTTGGATCAAGCAGTACATGTTGGTTGTGGACATGTGCACTGCTCTATGTACAGTAAAATTGTTCATTACCAGTTTACTGCTTCCTTGTAACCAAACCACTACTTTTGTAACAAGTAGTACGTGTTCGTTATGGTCATGTGTATTGCTCTAGGCACACTACAATTCCCATAGTCCATTATGGGAGCAAGCAAGAGAGGTAGGCTACATTCATACATAGTGGGACCATGAATAATAAATGAAATCTGATTGCAGCAACAATAAAGAATACATACTAAATAGAATTTTTTTTTTTCTTTTTTAATTAAAGCAGAGTTCAGTTGCACTTTGTGTGTATATTGAATGAAAATCCTATCTGTTAGCTTCCCAGGTTTGCAGGTGCAGAAGGTTGTAAATAGGAAAATGTTATATGGCCAAAAGCTGCCTACTTTCTTATGTTTGTAGGGATATCACCCTGCTGCCCTTTATAGTGTATTTATAGATGGTGTATTTTGCTCTGTCCACTACTGGAGAAGATTGGGAGCAAAAGAAAAGCCTGCATGGCATAAGAGTAATTTTTGGGGACCCAGGTTGGGAGGGGGATACACACAGGGGAAGGGGGGAAGCCTAGAGTTAGGCCTTATTCCCCACTCCCTCCTGACATTAAGCCCCATCCTGCATTTAAATTCTGGTGATGGTAAAATAGTAGACGGAGTGCCTCATACATGTTACATACTGGGTATAAAAACAAGTTTCTCATTAAAATGGGAGGGTAGGAAAATGTACTATTTACTGTAATTATCTGTATGACTGCTATTATGTCTAATTTGTCACTCTTGTCTCGTAGATGGAGTATATTACATTTTACATCAAGTAATACCATTGTCCAGTAATACCATTGATCAGTAATACCATCGTCCAGCACTACCATTGTGCTTCTAGGACCTACAAAAGCCAACATGTGAATACTTCAGAACTCTTGCTCAGCTTCTTGGACCTACAAGAGTGACGTTTGCATATTTGGAAATGTCTAGTGTTGGATTAATGTATGCACAAGGGCTGAGAAGGCTTCTTCCTGTGTGTAAGGTGTAAAAACTGACCATGTGTTGCCTATGTACATATTTTTATTTCTTCTTTCCTTTGATTAGGATATAAATGTTTTGTAGGGAGGGATAGAACCCCTGACAGATTTTTTTTTTTTTTTTTTTTTTTTTTTTTTTTTTTTTTTTTTTCTGTGGTCCTGATGTACATCCTCTCCCACTTCCTTTTTGGCAGAATGGGAACTGATGGTAAATTTCTCTAGTGGAGGCCCAGATAGCAGTAAAAATCTGATGAGTTTTCACCCTTCCCCATTCTATCCAACTAAAAAAAAAAAAAAAAAAAAAAGGTTTTTTTGACATACACTTTAAGAACATATTTATATTTGCTCAGTGTGTTTTTGTTGTACATTTCATGTGTTTAATTTCCTGTAATGCCTCAGTTCTTAAGCCTATAATGGCTACCTTTCAGTTTAGTAAATTGCCATAGCTTGGGGCACCCAGATATATTTACAATGTAATCAGATTGATTTGATTGGTAGCTACTGCTATGGCATATTCGCTAAAGCCCAGAGTAGTTTCCCACCAAAGACCGGGCATTTTACTATCATAATCGTATTGTGGCTGGCACTGGGTTTACAACACTGTTTTCTTAGGTCTACTTAGTGCTAACATTTCAAAGTTTACGTCTTATTTTCAATAATATGTCAGTCACAGAGGTTACCATCAGCCAATAAATGTGGAAAATCAAAGCATTCAGAGGCTTACCAATGTCATCTCTGAATTGAGTTAGAATACCCTGAGTGATGCCAACCAGTCTACAAAATGGATGAAAAAGTGTGTTTACAACTGTAACTAATAATCCGAAGACACATTGTTCCCCAGAGATGGAGATGAACCTACTATAAATGTTCTAATCTTGATGTGCTTGTTATTTTAAGAATGTTTAATAAAGTTTTTGTTTTCATCTTATTGCACAGCATCTGTTTTTTTTTTTTTTTGTTTTTTTTTTTGTTTTTTTTCCAACCTTAAATTCCTTTTACTTCCAGAGCAGACGTTTGCCATGATGAGTATAGACTTTTAGGTGGACATCAGTGCATCAGGCATCAGTGTTGGACATCAGTATACAACATTTTACATGTTTCTTACACGTTTTTATTGCTTTTGGGCCTTTCTTCAGATGAAATAGGCTACCATCTTTGGCCTGGGCAAGTTATATGCATATTGAGGGGAATTTACTAAGCAGCCAGGATCTGCAGCAGTTGTGCATGGAGGTCAATCAGTTTCTGTCTCTCTTTTTTTTTTTAAGCTTAATTAGCTTGGCATTGAAATAGGTTTTTTTTTTTTTTTTTTTTTTTTTGGTTTTTTTTTTTTTTTTTTTTTTTTTTTTTTTTTTGCACACATGTAAAAAAATCTTAATTTCTCTTTCATTCATTGACTGACAGTCTTCACATTCTTGACCGTAGGGTTATAGCATCACCTTCAGTAGTAGGGCAGGAGGCAAAACAAAATAAGCACAGCACTGCCTATGTCAGTCCTAGCTGGTAGTAATTCCCCTCTCTGCTGTTGGCATAACACTTTTTTACACTAGGCATTAAAAAAAAGAGTAACCTAGCTCCCTAGCTGTGGTTCCATAGCCATTTATTATGTGTTTTTTCCTTCTGCATAGATGTTCTATCAACAGCCGGGCTGTGGGACAGGCTGGATAATAAAGATGTGAAGTGAAGCAAAAAGAGAGCAACGACCTTGCGCATTACCTCAGTAAACTATGAATTTATTAAAAAGTGTATATATACTTCCAAACAATGAAGTATAACAAGCATAAAGGAAATTGAAGTGTAGAGCCAGTGTGAGTCACATCATGAGGGTAGACTCTCAAAGTGAGGCTGACGCATTTCGAAGGGGGACCCTTCTTCATCAGAGCTAACAGCACAATGAGTGCCCTCCACCATATATACCTTGGGAATGAATGTAGGCCCTCCCATCTGGGCAGGGCTGTGTCCACCCAGGAGGAGGGGCATAGGTGTCCTCAAAACTACAAGTCTGAAAGAAAAAAAAAAAATATATATATATAATCTCCTGTTCCAAATTATTATGCAAATATTTTTCTCATTTACCTAAATTGATGTAAATAACAGTCAGCATAATTCTCATGTTATTAACTATTAAGAGTACAATTCAAATTTTATTGAACAAACCACCTAATGATAGTATTTTTGTTAAACATAAAAACCTTACAATGCACTGTTCCAAATTATTCCGCACAGTAAGTTTCAAAACACTTTATAGGTTGTAAAGAACTGAAAATTGTCAATTGTTGTGTTTGCAGCATATTTACTGAAATCAAAAGCTATTTCAATCAAACTTTTAACAACATTTTAACTTTTTTTAAACATTAACAGGTCACGTTACATTTTAACATAGGACCCCTTATTTGATAGCAGCTTCACAAGTCTTGCATCCATTGAACTTGTGAGTTTTTGGACAGTTTCTGCTTGAATTTGTTTGCAAGATGTCAGAATAGCCTCCCAGAGCTGCTGTTTGGATGTAAACTGCCTCCCACCCTCATAGATCTTTTGCTTGAGGATGCTCCAAAGGTTCTCAATAGGATTGAGGTTAGGGGAGGATGGAGGCCACACCATGACTTTCTCTCCTTTTTATCCCCATAGCAGCCATTGATGCAGAGGTATTCTTTGCAGCATGAGATGGTGCATTGTCATGCATGAAGATGATTTTATTACAGAAAGCATAGTTCTTCCTTCTGTACCAGGGAAGGAAGTGGTCAGTCATAAACGCCACATACTTTGCAGAGGTCATCTTTACACCTTCGGGGACCCTAAAGGGGCCGACCAGCTCTGTTCCCATGATTCCGACCCAAAACATGACTCCACCACCGCCTTGCTGACATCGCAGCCTTGTTGGAACAGGGTGGCTGTCCACCAACCAGCCAATGTGCCATCCATCTAGACCATCCAGGGTTGCACGGCACTCAGTGAACAGGACTGTTTGAAAATTAGTTTTCATGTATTTTTTCTGCCCAATGCAGCCATTTCTGCTTGTGAGCATTGGCTAGTGGTGGCCGAATAGAAGAAGGTTTATGCACAGTTGCAAGACTCTGGAGGACTCTATACCTTGATGTCCATGGGACTCCAGAGGCACCAGCAGCTTCAAATATCTGTTTGCTGCTATGTAATGGTATTTTAGCAGCTGCTCTCTTGATCCAATGCGTGGATCTGGCAGAAATCTTCCTCAATGTGCCTTATCTGCACGAACCCGTCTGTGCTCTGATGCCACAAATCTCTTAATAGTGCGATTATCACGCTTACGTTTTAGTGAAATATCTAATGTTTTCATACCTCGTCCAAGGCATTGAACTATTTCACTCTTTTTGGCAGCAGAGAGATCCTTTTTTCTTCTCCATATTGCTTGAAAATGGTGCTCTGCTTAATGTGGAACACCCTCCTTTAGTAGTTTTTCCTTAAATTGGGATCACCTGCCAATCTAATTATCACAGGTGTCTGAGATTGTTTTCAGTGATCAAAAGAGCCCTGACACACACAATGCCATCCATGAGTTAAACTGAAAAACAAAATATTTAATCTTTGTGACACTTAAATAGAATTTGCATAATATTTTGGAACGGTGTGTGTGTGTGTGTGTGTGTGTGTGTGTGTGTGTGTGTGTGTGTGTGTGTGTGTGTGTGTATATATATATATATATATATATATATTATATTTATGCAAATGTAAAAAAATTATGATGAATGCATGCATATAATGCCTTATTTCACCGTTGTGTACAATCAAAAAGGGGACACAGCCATAAAATGCTATACACAAAATTAGCAGACATGATTAAAAGTTACAGATTTTATAATTAAATTAATGAAAATCCGGTTGCTAATAATACATTAAACTCAAGTCTTTTGCAGAGGTGTATCTCCTGATCCAGAATGCATAATTAGTAGTAATGACCATGCCTAAAAGCAGATTCCTGGATTGTCCATGTATGGGCTGTCAAACCGATAGCTGATTCAGCAAATCTTTGTGTTTTTAAATGACCATGTATAGTGAAATCAAGGCATTAGCAAATGGAGATCAAGTGCAGCTGTTAGCTCTGATGAAGGGTCCCCCTTTGAAACACGTCACTCTCACTTTGAGAGTCTACCCTCACGATGTGACTCACACTGGCTCTACACTACAATTTCCTTTTGAGGATCTGTTTATGCTTGTTATAATTCCTTGTTTGTTAGTATATACTTTTTATTTAATAAATTCATAGTTTACTGAGGTAATGTGCAAGGTTGGTGCGCTTTCTTTTTGCTTCAATTCAGTTTTGGTCGGGCTTCCCCTGCCTTGTTTTAGTGCTGCACAATCTTCCATGCATTTGTGGAACTGTTTCAAGGAATCCTTCCACCTTTCCACCCTTGTTTTGAGTCCTAGAGCGCAGGAGGTTTTGTTTTTCAACTGGATAATAAAGATCCTTGTCACCCCAGCCTTGCCAATGAGCATGCAGACCTTTTTAGCTTGGCACTGTCAGCTGCGACGAGCCTCATACTGGACCAAGGCAAGTTAAACGTCTTGTAGGGACACATGACTGGGCACCTGATGTCTGTGTCACCATGACTGACGGCTCTCCCATCGGTGGGAGGTGGATCTGTCTTGAGTGTGTAAATCACCACTCCTGCTAGATTAGCAAGTACATGCCTTACCCCCCCCCCCCCCCTCCAGTACTGAGCTCTTTTAGCAGCCCCCTGCCAACTTTTGTCAGTGCTGTCTCCCTGCCAGGCATGTGTTCCACCTGCCTTTCCTGTCTGCCAGCCATTCCTTTATTTCCTTTCCAGCTAGCCCAGGCCTCCCCTACTTGCCAGGT